TAAATACGTTTTCTTGGCCATTGTGAGAAAAAAACGATTATTTGGGATTCGACAATACTTTCTCAAAGAGTCGCAGCACTCGCAGCTAATTTTGGGTGCCCGCCCGACGCTACGTCAGCGAGCGAATGTATACATATTGAAATTAAGAGGGCAAAGTTCAGGGATATGTTTCGTTGCTCCGTGTAATGTATAAACTTATTTAGCCTGCGTATGAAGTGTTGCTAAAAACTTTATGTTGATTAACATAAGTGTTGCTGATACTTTATGTCGATTCAATTCAAATAATTTTATACAATAATTTCTATTAATTATTTAAAAGTAATTTGTGTATTATAAAATTACGATGTAATTACAATTGATGAAATTACGTAATGCGCACGAATGTGAAATGCTATAAGACATTCAAGTAAGATCAGAACATGAAAAGAAGAAAAGGTGGGGCGTGAAAATTGTCATTTAACGCCCAATTGGACAGAATCGATTTCGTATTGTTTTGCACAAATGTTTTCGCACTTCCGTGGAGCCTCGATCATGAAGATAAGGTGCAACCGGCTCGCTCGGACCCCTTAGGGTTGGGTCCCGAAAGAACCGCTTAAATTATGCAAGCAAATGTCAGGTAGCAAAACATTTTCATGTTGCCAGGAGTAGGCCGTTAGTTCGTTGTTCTCTGCGTTTTCCTGCATTCCTTTCTTTCTCACCCTCGTCAGCTCTCATCTCTCTCTCTGTTCTTCCTACCTAAATTTATCCCGTGTCGTACGTGAAGTAGAAAGTTAGAGCTACCTGTCGGATCCTAAACAAATATTTTACGGCAGCATTCAATCCAATTTGACACAATAGGGATACACGAAATCGAATTAAGGGTGCATTATGATGCTGCGACCCACTCGATCGATCGAGACGATCCAAAAAGGAAATTTCGCGAGAGCGGCTACCTATGTTATCCAGATAATAGTTTTGAAAAAACTGAATAGTATATTGCAGTAAATTAAATAAATGAAGCAATTAAGAAAATTTTTTTTTTTTAAAACAATTTGCGATTTTTTACATCAATATATTTTTATATTTACCACATTTTTCGCGATATGTTTGAAAATTAAACATTATTAGCAGAATCGACACTAATTACACTCATTGTCTATCAATTTATTTTTTATAATCAAATAAGTTCGATCATTCGTTTTTCTTTATTTCGGTACGTCCTAAGACAACATCTTTTGTAAATATCTAGGACAAGGAAAATAATGGACAAGTGTATTTTGCTCCTTTATTTTTTAAATCCCTTTATTTAGTAGATTTAACTGGTGACTGTCAATAATAGTTTCATCTTTACCACATTGTTCGCGAACAATGAACTTTGTATATTCTTATGTCAGAATATAATGATTTAAAAATAAAACACCAAACTTTCGAATCCTTTTTCGACTTGTCGTGCCGAAAGTATAGAATCTTTAAGAATCTTACTTTTCGTACGTGTCAGTGCCCTTTCCTGCTCGCCCTTCTAATCCTCTCCGAAGCCTCTTCCGCTCTTAGCCGGTATTACGCTTTCTGTTATGCCTAAACACAAGGATGCGTGCGCGCGTGTCACGTTAAAATTTGTTACGTGCGTTATATGCGTATTAATATTATATCGGTCGAACGAGCACTCCAACGAGATACGTCTTCGGCATTTTAAGCAGCGTCATTCATAATTTGTCAGTTCAGCGATAGGTATGTAAAGGTGATCCTATTATTGTTCCTCGTCCTCACCCTCCTCGATCCGCCTGTGTCCTATGACAAGCGGTGGCACTTGTCGCAGCGAGCCACCGTGATCCGCGTAACGAACGCGAATTTATACGCCTCGCGTGAGTCTTTTATCGACCGCTCGTAGATCACCGTTGTGTGCCAGTACCGTCGCGAAAAGTTGGCGAAAGATAAAAAGTGCGAAAAGGGGAAGAAAAGACAGATGACTGCATGGTCTTTCGTTATGTCTGGCTGGCCAACCAGAATTAGTTGCGATAACGTGCTAATATGATACACAAGGATCTTATATAAATAATCTATGAGAAAAGTTTTACAGCGTCATAAAAAATAAAAATTTAATTAATTCATTCTAGTTTATTCACACGTACATGTAGCATATTTAACAATATATTTATGCAACGTGTTTTTTTTTTATAAGCAATCAATAGCACATTTCGGATTTCGGATGCTTCGCTCGAGAACTTTGGAGGCAAGCCGCGCGTACTCTTGAATATTTGCGGCAACGGAATGGAGAAAGGGGACGAGGCGAGTGAAATTCCGGAGGCCGTTCGCGGGCAACGTACACCCGCGTACACGCGGAATGCATAATTTCTTTCTTAGCGACAGAGCTTCGCAGAGTTGCTGGCGGCGTGCCGTGGCGGTGATAAAAAAAGGACGCGCAATAAAAGCCGTCGAAATGTGACGTCTCGCGGATCTCGCGGAAATCGATGGGTCGTTAGCGATGGACGACCAGGCTAGCGAAATATCGCGATATTTTGAGCATAACGGGCATCCACCGACACGCGCTAAGAGTTTCTCCGGCGTACTAAGAGGGCCTCAGTATTACCGTGTCGACCTAGAAACGCCACGGCCAACTGTTGCACTTTGTAGAAAATTATTTGGAGAATGCCTCGTAGGAATTCTTTCGAACTGCGAGATTCTTGCTGGTGCCCGTGTGCAAAGTCGTGAAATGTTTTAACATAGCTATTCTAATGCAAATATAATATTGGTATCTTTTACGATTAAAAAGTAAGAAATTGGTGTCATATTTAAATTAATTTTCATACAAATAATTATCATAACGTTATTATAAAAATAAGATAATATTCTACTATATTTTAAAATCTAATATTGATTGAATAGCAATAAAAAAGTTGAAATAGCTGTAAATCTAACGTATATTATTTACTTATTACGATCGGACGGCATATTACGGGTAATTATCGCTCTTTTAATTTTCTCACTCTGCATCGCTGGAATCACACAAAACGAGGAAGACTCATCAAGTATCGCGCGCGCATCTGTGTTTCCACAATTTTTTTTTTATCGCAACGCTCGAAGTGCAGAACTCGCGTACGTCTCGTACGGGCGATAATTAGTTGCGCTTCCTCGCACGCGCGAGTAATAAAGAACAAGAAAACGTAGGAAGTTAGCGGCAACAATAACACGAATGGCCACAGGTGCGGAGGCGCGCAAAGCCAGTCGTGTAGTTGAAACAGACTACGACACAGGAGGATCCCGTGGCACACGATGATCTAACTCACCCCTCCTGAGGGGTAGCTGGCACGTACTGCATAATGCTGCTACCTGTGGCTCTCATTTAAATGTACTAAACCTCGCTCACTCGCGCGTTCGTTCTCGACTCCTTTTCCCCCTCTCTTCGTCCCTCTTCTCAATACACTTACACGCTTTCGCTCGTTTCTTGTGTTCGGCTCGTTCTTATTGATACCACCCCCTTCCCGCCCCTCCCTCACGGGCGAGATCGGGGCAGCCTTTCTCCATAATTAATCATCCCCAATGAGTACCTGTTGCTGTTGCGTAATCGGCAATTGATCGATCTACCTTCGTTCAGATTCCTCTTCAAAGTTTTACGTCTGCAAATTTGGATTATTTTTGCGAATATAGTAAAATATCTTTTAAAAAATATTTAAGTAAAGTAAAGGAAAGCATATATGGATCCGTGCCATATCCTACTTTCTGGTCTGTTAAAGAATTTCGTATATTGAAAACATTTTCGGTGTATAGTCATCATAATTTTTTTTATGTTTTTGGAGAATTTTGCTAGAGTTGTAAATTGGAGTTTTGTGACGCGTCTCGGATTATTCTTTTTATCTCTTTTTGTCGCTTATTTGCTCACGAGACGCGACGACCATGCGGGGTGCAGAATATTGATAACGAAGGCGTGCGTAATCAGTGAACGAGCCGAAACCAACGGTTATCCGTGCACCTGTTGCACCGCGAGCTACGCGAAAAGGAAATGAAACTGTCGACGGGCAGGATTGTACCGCGACAATGCCTGAAAAATTGATCTTTCGTTTGCGTACGTGACGAGTATGCTATCGTCGTTCTCGTGGAGGGAATCGCAGGACGCGGCAGAATGAACTTTCATATTCAGACTTTTGTTGTTCCAAAAGCTCAACGGAAACAATGAGACTCTTATGATTTGTGTCCCGAGGGTACTGTGTACTGTGTGCTTTAGTTATTTTATATCCTTTATGATTACTTGAATTAATAATGCCTCATGTGCGCGATTCCCACATACGATTCTCATAGCCCCAGATATTCCCACAAGATATACTTTATCCCGAAGACGCGGGACTATTCGTGGCGTCGCGACGTCTACCGTGCCTAGTCGCACATACAATTATTCGTTATTAAATCAGTACCTGTTGCGTGCGCGCGCGCACGTGCCGTGAGAAATCGCGACAACGATCGCTGACCGTGATCGTGAAAAATTTCTGAAGGGATCCGTCGTTTGAAAAACGACGAGATACTCGGTGAGATGTAATACATGAACATGGAGGGACGCATAGAGATGAGGTATTGAGTGCACCTGAGAAGCGAAGTCGCGGGGAGCTGTGTCACATGGCGAACGTGGATGAGCGCTGGACGAGCCGCGTGTCGAGTCGGCTCGAGTCGCGCCTCTCCTAATCGCGACGGCAGGAACGGAGCAAAACGGAGCAACGGAACGGTTGTGCGGTTGTGGCACAGCGCAGCAACACGGCGCGATGTGACACGGTACGGTGTGGCGATGGTGGCGCGGCACGGTGTGGCAGTGTTGGCGCGACGCGGCAGCAGCAACGTCGGCGCTGACGGTGGTGGCGATGGAGGTGGTGGTGGTGATGGTGGTGGTGGTGGTGCTGGTGGTGGTGGTGGTAGTGGTGGTGGTGGTGGTGGTGGCGGCGACGGCGGCGGCGGCGACGGCGACGGCGGCGGCGGTGGCAGTGTCAGCGAACGAGCATTGTTAGCCAGGCGAGAACGTAGTCAAGTGACGGCAAGGGGGGGTCGAGAAGGACTGGCGCCTAGGGTGCCTCGCCTGCCTTCGTAGGCGCGGTCACAGGAGGTTCCGCCTGATGCTGACGTACATCGACGGCCACCTTGCCAGCCCGTCCAATTGCGAGCTGCGCAGCGTGCGACGGTGGGGATGTGCACGGCGGTGACGCGCATGACGAACTTCCACCACAAGCGGCTCCGGGAGCCTCGGGAACCTCGGGCGAGCTGCGAGGCGAGGCAGTCAGTCGCTCTCAGCTACGACATGCATAACGCATGAGAGCCCGAGCGAGATCTTTCTAACCCGTCTCTCCTCCGTCGCCATACACACATACACATACACATACACACTTACATACATAGACACTCTCTCTCTCCTTCTCTCTCTCTCTCGCTCTCTCTCTCTTTCTCTCTCTCTCTCTCTTTTTCCTTATATTCTCTCACCCACACGCTCTTTCCACGCATACACGTATACCGTATGTATACGCACACGTACACTCACGTAAAGAGAGGGACATCTACCACCAGAAGGAACATACACGCACGACATCATATACCTATTCTACTCCCGCCGAGTCGAGTCTCTTCCGTTTCGCGATTACCGTCGTACGTCCCTTTACGCCGAGCCGGTCGGTCGGTCGCTCGCTGCTCGGTCGTCGGTCTGCGGTGGCAACCCCTGAGTGCAGTCGCGTCGTGCATCGTTGTCGTCGATACGTGTCCATCACGTCGGGGCTACAGACACGACGCCAGTGCGGAGTAATCCTCGCATCGCCGTAGACATCGCCGTCGTCGTCGCCGTCATCGAGACAAGATTAGTGATTACTCGACAAGTTCGAATCCCCACCAGGGATGTGTGACCTCGGCTGAATCGATATCCTCGTCGCGAGTGACTTCCCGACTCGACTCGAGGGTTGGCCAGTACATAGCCAGGAGGCGAGCTTCCGTTTCACGTGTGATTTTCGTGTGGGAACGAGAGTAGCCGCGACACCCAGGGCTGACGACAGAGAGAGAGCGCAAGAGAAAGAAGCAAAATTCCGGAGCGCCACGACAGAGCGGTGCTCCGATCTGGAAACGCGCTTTTCCTCCGCGGGGACCCACCCCGTCGGAGCGAACGAGAGAGAAACGGGATATCGACAATCCTCTCTCGCTACGGATTCGTCGATGTTGCCGTACTGTTGCATACATGACACTCTTGAGAAACTATGGACGAAACTTTGTCGAGAACGACGACCAGCTTCGTCTGGTCCTCGGTGTGTCGACGTGAATTGTGGATTGTGCAACGAGTGATCAGTGATTACTAAGAGATTTGCTCTTCGAGGATCATTGGATTGTGAGGTGACTAGACAATCGACGAAAGCTGCATTTAAGGTCCTGCGAGGAGATTCTACCGACAATCTTTCGATTCGTTCTCGTGGAATTTTCACTGAGTTATAAAATCTTCGTATACTTTCCATCTATATATATATATATATATTAACAAAAATCGGAAAGTTCAGAAAACTGTTTGCGAAAGGGGTGCGAGCGAAAAACGTACCCCGTGGACGTGTCCACGGTGGGGAACCACACTGAGAGGGTTTCGCGAAACCTCTCGACGAGGGGGAAGTAGATGGCCGCTACCACGTACATGCCGGTTAGTAGCGCAGTGTCTACCGACCTGGATGGTGGTTCAGGTACAATCGGGATGAACATCGCCGTGGGTGGCTATTCCTCGGGCTCGCCCCGTAGCGCCGCCGACGCTGGCGAGATGAAGTACATGCCGGCGCCGCAGCATCATCACCACCATCATCATCACCATCAGGTGACAGGCTCGCCGTCACCGAACGGACTTTCCCATCCGGCGAGTCTCTCGTCGGCGAATCCCTGGGTGAGCCTACAGCCCGGTAGCGATCCCTGGGCGGCCTCGATGGGCATGCACCATACTAGCCATCATCCTCATCATCACCCCCATCAAGCAAACTCGAGCCTTGATGTGAAACCGTTGACCGCGGCCGCGGCGACCGCGACGGACCAGGGTATGCACCATCGGGGCCCGCACCAGTCCCCGGGTATGGCCTCACCGCACTCCTGGCACGCACCGGTCGTCCCGTCGGCGCACTACAATCCGAGCGGTGGCGCGGCCTCGCCCACCACCCTCCAACAGTATCACGCAGCGATGAACGGCATGCTGCATCAGCATCCGCATCAACATCCACATCAGCTACACAACCATCAGACTGGTCTACCTCACCATTTGAGGGACGCGCACAATCACAGTCCACCGTCGGGGCATCCTCTGCACGCGGGTCATCCTCTCGACAGGGATCACAGCGCCGGCGAGGAGGACACGCCGACGTCGGATGACCTCGAGGCCTTCGCCAAGCAGTTTAAACAACGACGCATCAAGCTCGGCTTCACCCAGGCGGACGTCGGTCTCGCGCTCGGTACTCTCTACGGCAACGTCTTCTCGCAGACGACAATATGTAGGTTCGAGGCTCTACAGTTGAGCTTTAAAAATATGTGCAAGCTGAAGCCGCTGCTGCAGAAGTGGCTCGAGGAGGCGGACTCGACGACCGGCTCGCCGACGAGCATCGACAAGATCGCCGCCCAGGGTAGAAAACGGAAGAAGAGGACGTCGATCGAAGTGTCGGTAAAGGGTGCGCTCGAGCAGCATTTCCACAAGCAGCCAAAACCGTCGGCCCAGGAGATCACCTCTCTCGCGGACTCGTTGCAACTCGAAAAGGAAGTGGTCAGGGTGTGGTTCTGCAATCGGCGGCAAAAGGAAAAGAGAATGACGCCGCCCAATACACTTGGCGACGGCATGATGGAGGGTATGCCGCCGGGTCACCAGAGCCAGGGCGGCCTCCATCAGGGTTATCATCCGCAGGATCATCTGCACGGCTCGCCCATGGGTCACAGTCACAGTCCACCAATGCTCAGCCCTCAGGCCCTCACGGCCCACTCGCTCGCGGCTCACTAGCGTTCGCCGGGGCCTCCCCCGTTGGGCCTCGCGGTAACCTCGCAGAACTCGGCGAACGTGTCGTCGACGGCAGAGACGACGACACTGCCGCCATTCTATCATCACTACCTTCAGGCACGCACCGGCAGTTATACGACCTCGTAGCTGACCGACTCGCGGCGCCCTTTTTACCTATCAGACGGCGGCGCTCGTTATCGAGACGAAGGTACGGAATGGTGGCTCGTTCGACGAGATTCAACGGGGTTTAACGAGGCCGAGACCGGTCCACCGGGGAGGCTGAGGAGCTGACGCGCACGGTCAGTGATTTTTTTGTCGACCTTGACCGCGCGCCTAGACCCGGAGAGAGGATGAAAGCCGCACGGGGACGGAACAGAATAAGAAAAATACGGAGTAAGGAGAGGACGCGGTGCCGGGACTGTCGCCGCTGCCGTCGGCGAACATCGTGATTGTTCTTCGCCCGAAGTTCTTTAAGATATTTTCATCGACGAAGTATCATCCTCGTCGTCATCACCGTCATCGTCATCTCGCCGTTGTTCGCGCGGTTCCAGCTATTTTTACTTCATCGACGATGTCCCGGTGATAAGTGAAATGTCTTCATCGTGTTTTTCGCGACGTGACGCAAGAGGAGACCCAGTGGCGTTCTCTCGAAGGGTACCATTGACGGACACGTAGTGATGACGTTTCTCCTTCACGCGGCCAGGTCGGGGCCCGTTCGTTCGTTCGTGGAGTCTGAGCTAGATCGCGGACCTTGTTGGCTGTTCGCTGTTGTTGTTGTTGTTGTTTCATCGTCGCCGGTGAGCGGAAGTGGTTAACTCGACGGTCTCCGACGGGGACCGACCCAAGAAAGGACGGTTCGATAACAAGGTGCGTGGACGCGCAAGACTCGGGCGAGGGTGCGGTTAAAAGGAACGGAGGTTTTCTCTCTCTCGCCCGCGAACGAAACGGGAATATCGGACACGAGACACGGATCGCAAGGGTGTCTTTTCGCGCGCGTGCGATTCTCCCTTATCTTCCGCGAGGTCCGAAATTCGCGACGGACGAACGGGCGTCAAGAAAAAAAACATACGTAAGGAGCGAGTGCTGTGTTCGCACGGGATTTGCTCGGAGCAAACCCGGCGGATGATGTAACATAAGTAAATATGGACTGTAAATAATGTACTAGATAAAGCTAGTAAGTTAAGTGAGAGAGAGAGCATGAATCGTCATTGTCGTCGTCGTTGTCGTCGACAACGAGCACAAAAAACAGACGCGGGAGCTGGAATAAACGGAGGAAGGTGATATAAAGAGAGATGAGAGGAGGGAGAGAGACAAGGAGTATGCAGCGCAACAAAATAAAAAGAGGGACAGATTTTTATATATATATATAAAAGGACAAGATGCACATCGAAGAGAGACCGCGTATTGGAAAAGCGCGTGCGAAATCCTAGCGAGACAGCAAGACAGAGTTCCCCCCTCACGCGAAAAACCCCTTCTGTATAAAGAGTAAGTATCCATAAATATATACGTGTATATACCCACAAGTCTATATAGATGAAGATTTATTATTATATATAAATAGAAAAAGGATATATATATATATATATATATATATATATATATATGTATATGTATAGGAAGACACACGGAATGGCGTTACATCCGAAAGCTTTATGTCTATGTATAGATCGGAAGGTTTTAGCTATGTCTAATCATTATTGTATTATTATTATGTTTATTATTATATTGCTATTATTATATATTATCATTATTATTATTATATTATTGTGACGTTCATTGTCTGGTCTTGAGAAAACGTTGTGATTGTGGCACAAAATCCGGCGTTAACGCGAATTTATTATTATCGCTATTATAATATTCGCCATTATTATTATTGTCACTTATTATTATTATTATTCTTTATTATTGCGATTATTATAATTTTAATTATTATTATTGTCATCTCGTCGATATTAATATCATCGATATCTGTACTCCTGTACTGCCCGGGAGTCGAGCGCCGCGGAGCCGAGAATCTCGCGTCTTCCATCGCTGCTGGGCATAATATCGAAGAACTCTTCCTCTCTCGCTCTCTCGATCTGTCTCCCTTTGTCTCTCCGCTTCTCATCTCGTTCGTCTTCTCTCCTGTCTGGATAGTGACTCTTTTTTTTTCAAAGAGGCTTAGGCAGATGCGAAGCTGACGCGCACGGTTCGTACAGTACTATTTACTGAAAGTTTCTTACGTCACGAAGTATAGTATTAGACAATGATAAACTGTGTGATTTACGTGGAAGTTATTAATTATCCGATCAGTTTATGGTACAGTATAATTGTATTGTGAGGAATAATATGGGACGTACAATCTCGTATTTATCTTCTGTTATGTTATTAAATTCTACTGTCTTTAAATATCAGTGTGACGAAAAGCACAAAAAATTCGAATAGAATATTTGTACGAACCGTGGAGGAAAAAAAAACCATATTTCCCGCATAGAGATGGTTTATTTAGATTATTATGTATGTAGAATTTTAGATTATTATTACGTAGACCGGCTGCGCTTCTACCAAATTCTCTTTGGTTTGTTTGCCGATCGTCTCTATATACATGAATCGTCTCGCTAAGTTTCGGTTTCTGTTTCTGCGTAACTAATTTGCACTTGTCTGTGCGTGATATAAAATACCCAGAGATACTTGGTCGAAGGTGACGAAGCTGTTATTCTTGCCGTCGGTAAAATTAAGTTTGTCTTATGACCTCTAAACTTTAAATGAAATGGAAAATAATGAGAATAGGCGCGCGAGAACTTTCTTTCACATCATGTTTTTTGTAATAATTTCGTGTGATATAATAACCTTTTATATATATAGTATCGTATGTTATTATTATTATTATTAAAAATTGTGTTCAATGTTTATTCTCTAGAGACAATCTCGAGACTTTTTTCTGTTTTTAATTTAATTTATACAGGAAGATTTATTTAATCTAGTTAATTCTCGACAATGTTTTATTCCATAAAAGATTAGTGTTATATCGACAGATTTTCTCATAAGAAATAAACATGATTTTATACCCTCTAAGAAATTTAAATTGTGCCCCTCGAGCAACAACTCGAAATTGAGATGAGATCGATCGATCGTACATTCTGTTTTTACTCTTGCGCTTTGTCAAGATTTCACTTTCTGTTTTTTAAATGTTTTTTTAAAAGACATTTGTAGATAGTCACGTGTCTCGATGCTCCATTCAGCATCTCCGTGCTGACTATCTACACGGTTTCTTTTGCGACACGCTCTCTCGCTTCGATAATCGCGTTGATCACAGTAATCGAGCGTTATCGATGTTCCCAGTACGCTCAATAATATTTCCTGTATAATTCTCACATTATAAATTATTAATTCTGAAGATCGCGCTCTAGATCTGCATAAGGAAGCATCCGTCGCGCGACGTATTCTGCAAGAAGAAAATCCCCTTCTTTTTCTCCGACTGTCGCGGGTATTCTCGATCGAAGTCTCTCGGTCTCTCAGTGTCGCTTTGTTCCGCCGTTTTATATACATATATTTTTATCTATCGAGCCCTCTCGATCGACACGCCGCCTTTTTGCGGCTCTTCCTTGGCGTCGTAAAACGCGTAGGTGGTCGCGAACTCCATATAGCGCCGACGCACACCTTCGCCTTCTCTCTAGCGATTTATTTTCCACCTCAATCGTTGTGTGGTACTTGGCTGATCGCGCCGGTGTATCGAATGCCCACGCGAAACGCGCGGCGTCATCTCCTTTTCTTTTTCATCGCGGTAGGCTCGTTACACGCTGTGTCGCGCGGATTTATTTGTCTGGCGTCATCGGCTACTGCAACCGTTGTCATTACTAGCGCGTCCGCGGGTGCTGTTTTCCGCGGTTGTTTGTACGGCATGCAATCAACTTCAACGTGTTAACGAGAGAAATCCGGGATAAGATTTTGATTTGCCGGTTTTGCGAGGATCTTGTCACACGACTTCGATTTTGTGCGTTCCTCGCGAAAGTTGACATTGATTCATCCGATGAAGTCATTTCCCAGACATGCATTATTTCGACGGTGCTCTTGTACATTTTTTCATGATCTTTTTATGATTCTATTATTGTGCAGCATTCTTTGGTATGCGAAATAATACAATATTAAGTTTAGAAAATTGTTATTAATTACAAGATTTATATTACTATTCATATTCTTTGAGTATTATAGTTATAGTATTCCATGATTAGAATGACAGTACAAGCGACGCATTATAAGAGTCAGGTCATCGCAAAAAGCACATACTCGAAGGTCGCGTTCTTATTTGAATAAGGTGGTTCAACGAACCCGTTCGTCATCGTCTATTAATGCCCAAACTATTGTGTTGACATTACGCGTATTTACCGAAATGCCGACGGTAATTTATACACTTCCGCGGAGTCGTACTTGCGTCTGGCAGCCGGGGCCGCATAACGATGCATTAGGTGTGTATAAACTGCCCGGCGCGTTAATAGCACCTATAGTATCTACTTGCCGGACTAAAAGAGTCGTTTAGGGGGCGAAAACGTGCGCCGGGGCCGCGGCTTGTAATTCACGGCCCAATTTGGGAAGAGAGAGATTTTTATGGGGACGCGATCGTTCCGTGGCGAGCGCGTCACGGGGCTTTAATAAGGAGGGCCCCACCGCACCGGGGGGACTTTACGGACGGACCAACGTTACGCCGCACGACCCGCTAATCATCGTAATTTTTGATCGTTATAATGCGCTTAACGCATCGCGGGCTATTCATTTCCGTGATACTTCGACGGTTTCGGTAATGGCACGGCATTGGACCCAACCCCCCCCCCCTCCCCCCAAAACTTAGGCTCTGCTTAGGAGGTTTAGCCATTGCGTATCTACGACGTGACCACCAGACTTCGACCATTTATCAAATGAATCTAGTCCTCAGCACCATTATTCATAGAAAACTTCTTTGTTTAACTATGATAACGATACAAGAATCATGAAACACTTTTATTTCATTTCATGAAAATTTATTTGTGAAATTGATAAAAGCTAATAATGATATCTAATAACGAGAAATTTGAATAAAAACTTTCTCGGAGTTACTCTAATTCCACGAGTCACATTCTTATTCGTTTGTGCACTGATTAATCTATATTCTCGCTGCACTACGACCTTGAAAATTTACCTCGTTCATTACGATCGATCGTAGTTCCCTTTACGGATTAACATTTCCTAACAAATCAGTTAACGTGTATCCGCTCTTCGTACTATCGTGCGAACGCTTTAAGGTCTTATCTATGACTATCATAATGGATCGGTATAAGCATATTTGCTTACGAGACGAGCTTGGGAATTTTATGAGATCCGATATTAGGCCGTTCATCCTCCTGCGAGGATAGAGTCCTTCTCGCATTAGCGACGCTCGTTAGCTTACCCGTTCATTGGAATATAGACGTTTTTCTTTAACGTAATCACCGCGCCGTCGTCGAGGACGAATCAAATCCTTGTTAGGTCCATTTACCAATCCCGGCGTAATAGAAACGTATATATTCCCGCAGATTCGCTCTAAGAAATTTCAAGCGTTATGTCGTCGTTAAGCTCGCGCTAATGTTTTTCGTCAGCCTCATTGAGTATTACAATATCTTTCTCTGAACAACCCTCTTTTCTACATGATTACTGTCGTAAACTGATAAATAATTAATTCGGAGGACCACCAGCTGTAGAATACATCTAGAGAAATTATATAAATCTTGTTCAGCCTTGCTCGTCAACTGGGAATCGATTTCTTATTCTCCACTAATAAGATATGATTCACAATACAAATATCTGTTCTCTCGCGTGAATGACAGGATTCGAATAAATCTACCGCGTGGCGAGTTACAACATTTACACCTCATGAAAGTTTTAAGGAAATTTATTTAAGCATTATATCGTATGAAAATATTTCTAAATGTGATGTTAATAGATAATTTCTTCTTTATTAGAATGAAAAGTTCATCTTTTATGATTAGTAACGCATCGCTCTCTGCTCAAAATAGCAGCTCTGCTATATATTACATATGATATACTGATTACTGCAATTACGTGGACTATTATCAGTCATACATATTACTTCTGTGATTATTTGCTCAATTGGCTGCTGATGCTTATCGCCGTATACTCTTCTCACATTTCCTCGATTAAGCGCGATATATTCGATATGTCAAACACATCTTCGACTTCATTCGAGTTTATTCGCTTTTGAGAGGATCAAGCTTGCCTAAAAAGTAGTTATTCGACGAGGAATTTCACTGGTTATATCACCGACAAAAATATAATTTCTATAAACAATGTTCTCATACGTATCATCGCTCAAGCTCGGTATTAATAAAGCAGACGCTAATAAAGTAGTGTCCATGAAAATATTAATATCCTTGCCAGTACCTGTTTCTAACTTCGACGAGAAGTGTAATCTCGATAATTTTAATGAAATGTATAAATGACGTTGCGGAATTAATCAATTAAAAATTGCTGCAAAT